AGCGATCACGGTAAGTAGACAAGAGCGCCTGTTGGGAGATGTAAGTGTGGATGACGGACAAGCCACCCTCGGCTTCACACAACATTGTAATGAAGAGTGGGTGGCATTAATTGGGCACCCACTTAAGGTTATGAAGAAGTTTCATAATTAGCACAAGTATGGCTTGGAAATCGTTCAGAAGGTTTTACTTTCAAAACGATTCTCCTAAATGGCCGACGTCATGGGTAGACAAGCACTCTGGCTCTAGCAATTTTTTTAATTTTTGAGAATTGAGACATTCAACGTAAGGGTTAATTGGGTTTTTTTGGCTAAATGATGCGCGTTTTCTCATTTTAGACAAAATTTGAATTCAAAACATCTCCAGCAGAACTTTCTTCATTCTACAAGTACATTTGGATTTATTGACGGTGTTGATAAGCCATGTTGTTGGTAAATATATGTACTGATTTAGTTGTTTGTTTGTAAACTTGGTGAGCCAAATACCTATGTAGATAAAACATAGGTTAAGCTAGATTCTAGTCTCTCAACCATCTCATTTTTTGTACCTTTTGGTTGTCACAAATTCCTGCATACATTTTTTCCTATAATCGCGAAGTTGATTACGCGCAGTACTCGTTTACAATCGAAACAGGATGAAAAAAACATTGAGAGGCCTTCGATAATGTGTAACGTCAAATAACGTCGTCTAACGGCTAGTCCTGCATTTGAACTATGAGGTGTTGCCATTTGCCTAATTACAGTAACTCCATGAGTAAAGTTTACCGTTTTCAGGTTACTCGTTTCCTTTAAATGGCTAACATATATATTGACACGGGTATGGCCATGTCGCATACTTCACTAAAATTTTGCAAAAAGCAATTTTCCTTGGTGCTAGGCCTTCTAAATATGCATTAATCACTTAATTGACAGAATGTTACTATGGTAATATATCGTGGCTTTCAATCTGATACTCAAACATAGGATTTTGTCAGCTACAATAAGTGCCGAGCACAATATTGTTATATCGTCATTAGTGATATACCAGCAGTAATCTAAGAAGTTTTGACGAAAAATTTGGGAACAGTAGGTCCTGGATGCATCAGTTGGAACTTTAGGTATAAAAATCAAGTAAGTAGGTTTGGGTTAAGTATGCACTGAATTTCTTAATCTCTGTATACAGTTGTGTGGGAATGGCTGCGTCTGGAATAGGGGATATTTTTTTGATATCAACTAAAGCCTTTAAAATTTCATCGATTGTTAAAAGCTAACTAGAGCTATTTGATGTTACTTTATGTAGACGATTGCAGCATCCACGCATTTGTTCATATTGCTTTCAAGCAAAAAACTAATTTGTGAAAGAACAGATAAATTAAAGCATTTTGCGTGATTTCTTGGAGAGTCGAAGGTCATTTAGTTTATTCAGTTCTAGAAAATAGATTTATGATTTTATTTGGAAAAGGGTTAAAGTGTTTGCGTTTCAGGGATTTGATCGATTTACAGTTCAATAAGGAAAAAATTTAATGTAACAAAATCTGAATTGTCTATGGCATCTGCAGCAATCACTTAAGATAAATATCCAAGCAAAAATCCCAGAAAGCAGGGCATTTATTAGAGATAATTTACAACTAATTTAAAATCAAAAAAATAAATGGTTGCTTTTGCACCGAATTAACACTTAAGGAATTTATTTATTTGTGTATTGAGTTAAGAAAATTTAAAGGGTTCATTTTCACATTCACCACGGAAATCAGCAACAGCTCAATCAAAAGTTTAAAAAAAATTGGACATAACCACTTATATGACGCGCACAGCGCAGTAATGACATTGGGCTTGCAAAACAACAAGAAGAACGTCTTTGAAAAAGATGCATTAAGCTATAGAAAATGTCGCAATTATTTCAAGGTATCACTTTCAAAAAGCACGTGAAGAGCATTACCTTTATTCAGTTAAGGCTGTCAGACTCACTGAGATCAATGAATCGGTAATTAAAATCATTAATCTGTTATTAACTTCATGCATAATGACTTCAGGCAGGTCCCTATAAGGCTATGAACAAATAATAAGCATGTTATTATTATATGTTACCTATTCAGTCCTAAATTAATTGTGACATCGAAAATAATGAAAAAGGATTTTAAAATGCTTAATAAGGTTATCAAATATTTCATATCTTGTAACGGAACATTTGTTTAAACATATTTTTTCGGTGGCCGCGATCCTTGTTGTTGGCTAATGTATGTGCCCATAAATATCTTTGACTTTCCTTACCCGAACTTCTTTTTTGGTTGTTTTTTGCCTACCACTGGGATATGTGTACTTTGCCTGCCAATTTTTTTATCAATACAAAAGTACCGGTGGACTTAATTATTTTAGTTACATTGGATCTCTTAAATATTTGGCTCCTTAGTTAAAGCTGAATATAGGCAATAAAGTAATTGAAACTCATTTATAAAACCGTCTTGTCAATTTTTTGCTTTCCGTTGTGTTTTTCTTGCGTATCTCCTAATGGGTTTAACATTTCACGTAAATACTAAAAAGAACATGTGACATTTAATTACACATTTTAGGAAGGATGGTTACGTATAAGCAAGAAATGCCTCCACCCGGAGGGTTTGCTGCCTTCAATGTCTTTAACAAGGCAGTGAGGAAGCCGCTTAACGGTAAATTTTCCTCTTTTTTTTTTGTACCGTACCATTTTGCGTTCATCTTGTTCTAATTATCAAATGACTTTGCTGCATCACTAGGTCTCTATATCATCGCTGCCCTATATGCTTGTACTTTTGTGGGACTCAAGTTGCGTGACTGGGGCAAAGAACGTCGTCAGGCGCGTCATAATGAAAATAGGGAGGTTCGACTCGCTCTTTCGCCGTTCCTAATTGCAGAACAGCAACGCATGTTTCTCAAGCACCTGATTAAGAACCGTGAATATGAATCGGAATTGATGAAGGACGTACCTGGTTGGGAAGTCGGTCACTGGCACGACACACCCGTGTATCATAATCCTCGCGGTCTTTGGTGCGAGCCCAACATTTACGAGTACTATGCGCACCAGACTAAAAGTGCGCTCAATCGACACCTTGGAGTTCATCACGAATACTAATCTGTTTTGGACGTCTCCTGCCCATAACACTTTCCCGTTCTGATAGCTCTGGTTCTAAGTCTATGTTCATCTCGTAGTTCAGTTTGCTATTAGTAAGAGATTAGCTCTCATGGATTGTTCTTTTACCTAATGATGTTAACGGGTACAGCTGACGGGGAAAGGTTCGTTGCATATACTTCCTCACATACGATGTCATTTTTGACCCCAGCGAAATTTATGTAAATACGATACAGCTGCAGTCAAAATCCCCTATATTTTGCAAAAGGTACTAACTGTTCCATTTGATGAGGGACCTCGGTCGTCTGGAGTATGGTTTCCTAGGTCCATCGTCAGTGGCTTCAACCTTGCAGCTATCTACAAACAAGTGATTTGAGCACTTTGTGTGATACATTCTTCATTAACGTTCTTGTGTTGATTGTTATGTCCACGTATTCCAAGTTGAGGCGTTTTTGCCAACCCAGGTGTACTTAATCGTGCTATGCGGCTCATATTTGGTAGATGTAAAAATGAATGATCCAGTTATAGCTCCTTTTGTTGTTTGCCGTAAAGGATTGTCTTATACGTACCGAAAAGTGTAAGAAATATCGATCATTAAAATTTTTAAAACGAATTCGACAGTCCAAAGTTGACAATTTTCTGTTCAGCCACTATAAACAAAGTACCCTGGTTTTAAAAATCAGGCTTTTAACTCTTTTCATGATGTCAAGAACTTTTTTAAATTCTATGACATTGGTAGGCTAGTGCGGTATTTTGATGCCTGCTTGTTTGGTGATTCAACCGAATTTACATGCGTTCGCTCATTCCACTGGATTAGATTTACTGTAGTGTGAGTTGTGTGGGGTGACACTGGTCCTGCGGTCAGCTGACAAATGCAATAATAACCAGTTTTATCAGAGTCATTGGCATATGTAAATCAAGGTTCCTACCTTCTAGTTGTGCTTCTCGTCGTTAATTTCGATTTTCCTTATCCTGTGCCCTGCCATCTCAGGTCATGTAATTTTTTATCTTCTAAGGTAGCTATCCAGTACTGTTGACGAGAGAAAACAGCACACTTAATAAGTGTTCTGCGGCCAAAACCACATATCTGATTGGTATGCACGCCATTCCCTCCCAGTATTCGGTAAACATGCTTCATGTGGTATGGCTTTGCCTCTTCCATCGAGTTTGAAGGGCAAGTGTAGCACAGTGGTGTTTGAATCTGACAGATAGCAGTAAAGTCCATCACGAAGTCAATTGGTTAAATCCCATTGTATGGGCCCCATTTTGTCTGAATTTGAAAGCAACGACCTTCTGACCAAAATCTTCACCTTAATTTAGATCAAATAAAAAGTGCCATGGAATCAAACGAGAAATTGTCTCCTAAAACCTTTTGTTCTGCGAGTATTTTTTCACAAAAAAACATTGGAAAACGCCATTGGTGCGGTGTAGCTTTTGCTTTTTATAAGTTGTGCCAATTTAACATGAATTCTCCAATTTCTGCCTCTTTCTCCTCTTCCTTCATTAGAATATCATCAATAGTAGTAGTAGTTTGGGGGATAGATGAGTCAATGTGTGGTCTTGCGATCCAGGTAGACGATTTGAGTGGTTTTCTAGAGGCCTTTTTAGAAGCCGGTTCTCGGACTTTTGGCAGAGGAGGGGGTAGGGGTTTGGGGGGCATTGGCGGTCGTCCAGATAAAGAGGAGGAGGCGGAGAGGGATGGATAAGCCTTCGGTGGGTTGGAGGGAGTGACTGATGTTGGGGTTGGAACAGAAGACCTCAAACCGGGGTTTAATGTGTCGTCGGGAAGCGAGTATGGGTTGGCCGAGGCTATCTTTGGTAAGTATCTAAATATGGAAATAAGTCATGAACGTACGCTGTACATCCCACTTTAGAGGCTCGGTGTGAATAAAACTCGCAAATAGCTAAAAGTGCTTTAAAGCTTGAGGACTGCTTATTTGGTTCCACCGTGGAGGCACAAACCACAACTTCGAAGTAGCTAGCAAAGCAATAACATTACATATTTTCCTAGGACCTTGTCCACATTCAAAGTTATTTAGAATTACAGCTGTTTATTTGTCAAAAACATGCAAGACCCTCAAGTTTCGGTTTGCTGAGTAAAGATTACACTGAGTTTCCATTTTTTTAGGTTAAACATGCGCTGTTGCCATTTAAGCATACCATTTAAAATGCGCGATTTCAACCATGATCAGAGTGGCACTACAATTAAGGGTTACAATTAAATGAAAGCTAAGCGAGTGCTCTGTAGTCGCCTTTTTTCGGTATAACGAGGTCCTTTTTGAGCACTGAAACCTCTGGCTTGCAGTTAAGTCACTTCTAGAAGCTAGAATAGTCTGATGAAACACTGCAACACAGCATACTGGGTTCAATAATTGAACAAATTTATAGTTTAGATTTATTCACTTAAGTCCATAAAATATAACGTCCTTAATGTTTAATTCTATAAGGACGAAGTTTCGAAGCCCTTGGCTTTGCTAAGGACGAAAGTAATTCAAATAGATTCTGCTGAAACTTACTCATCAGCAAGTTTTGCAACAAAATTTATACCATCAACTGAGACTCCTAATTTTTTCGATAGCTGACTGAGTGTTTGGTCTCTCGTTTTGCATTGAGTTTGTGGTGACTCCTGCCTGAAAAATGCATCCAGCTTAGTGGAGCCGGATTCGTCCTCTTGCACGGAAGTGCCATACTTCTCTAGGAACTGGTGCAGCAGAACGTCGTAGTACCGCGGTGACCCAAGACGCCCAGGACCGAAATTAAGACCATCGCAACCCATGGAATCGATGAAGGTTATCAGGCGGGAGCTTTCTGGTCCGTGTTGGGGAAAGATGCGTTCAAAATGCCCGAGGGAAGCGCGATACCACTCGTTTAATGTATTGGCTAGCATAAGAACGTCGTCAGTCGTTGGATTATCCAATATGGTTTTCATGTCCTATGCACAATGAAAATCAGCCCTGTAGTCTCCTGGACCAATATAACGTGGCACAGGTTGTTGTTAAACGGTGGTTTTTTACACGGCCAAAATACTCGGGAATGCCATCGGTTAAAACGGTACATTTTAAGCCGAAAGCAAAAAATCTACATAATCAGGATGTAGGGCGGAAAATAAGTTTAGGAGACGTAAGTTAACTGACAAATCTAGGTTTAGTAGGTAGCACCATTGGTATCAACAGTCAATACTGAGGAGTCATTGTAATTAGACAGCACCACTGATTCTGTTCAGGCCTATCAATCAGATATCTTGTTGTGCTGATGAGAGAATTAATTGGAATTCTAAGCAGCACTGGAGTTTCCTTGATTATTCTCAATCCATATTGCTAAATGACTTAACATTTTGCTAACATTGAAGAACGCGATAATTAAGTAAGTTATAGCTAGTGATGGAAAACATTTAATTTTTTTTTCATCCAAAAGTTTCGTTCACATTTGATAAAATAAACTTAACCGGTAGGCATAATGGCTGATAAATTTTTCGGTCTTTAAGTTAATTTCGCGCATCTAACCCCTTTTAAAATACACAACCCCGCCAATGACAACCTGGCCGGGAGTTTGTCACGCCATCAGAGCGCTGTGGGTGATGTCACCCCGCTACTTCAATGCATCCTACATACGTGTTCCTTCCCGCGAAGACATGAACTACTAACCAACATAACATACCGTGAGTGATTGCGCTCTCACAGTAAATAGTCTGTGCTTCATTCTTTCCATTTCGGTAAGATTATAGCGCAATTGTTCAGCTCTGTGGATAGGCATTTGTTCTTCTTCCACTTCCACCGTGTTTGAAGGGTTAGATACATCGCCAAATGCTGTTGTTCCATTACCCGTTTCATTTGGTTGTTTTCGAGATTGATTGAAGGTGTTTGTCCTGTGTTTTGGTTCCCCTCTCACAGATTTTGGTGGCACTCGGAAACCGGCAAGATTAAACATGTCAACAACAACTTCAGACTTGATTGTATTGTCTAACTGAGACGATGTATGAAGGCTGGAAAGGAGGAGTTATCAACTGAGAGGTTCATAAAATAGAAGGCCAGATTGACTTCACAACTACTTAATGCAAATGGCATAGCCTACCAAATTCTTATTCGGCCTTACCTACGTTCTTGCGATTCTTGGTTTAAAATCCGGACCTTCAAAACGGACAAGGAAATCAAAAATTGGCAAGTACAATATCTACTGTTGTAAGAAAAAACGACGAAGTACTTATGATATTTTAAAAATGTAACATAGGACAATCCAACATAAATATATAAAGACCATATTCCATCCGAAAATACGGCATGTATGTAACCGAAAGCAGTCAAATAAGTGATCGGAAAAAGGGGGGAAGTCCGACAAAGAGGTGTAAATGATCTGAAACTGTACACTTTTCATGTCCTTACTGTTTGTTCTACTAATTTCTTGCAGTTTAAGATACTGCTTTCGTTATGTGTTTCAGATTAGGCCTTTAATCGATTTGAGCTGTGACCAAATAACAGCCGCGGCCTTGGGGTTGCTTCTCACTTAGGCAGTTAAAAATAGGGTCTTACACGTGGCTCCACGGTCTTTTTTTAAGTATACCACAATTTTTTTAAATCTAGAGTTCAACGAGTTTTAATTATCTGATTGACGCCGACAAAATGTACACAGCAAGAGTGAAAATTCATGCATGGTGGTTTATCCCCAATTTTTCGTATATCTACAAAACTAATTCAAATCTATCAGTATCGATCAAATTATAGATTATTGTCCTCTGTCATTGAGATGAGGTGATCCCTTGGCGGTCAGCTTCATACAATTTCTGAATTTATCCTCAGGATCACATGTCAACTGTCTTAGCAAAAGAAAACTATTAATAACATACATTTTGCATAAATGTGGACTTCATAGTGCCCATTGCATTGCCGAATAATTAAGTTGACCAATAAACTATGATGTATGAATTTGGAATGAGATTATAATATTTATAAACACTTCAAAACCGACTCCTTAAGGCTATTTGACCAGTCAGGTTAGAACCTGCATTCCCGTTCATTGATTGTTTTCTTTAAGTATCAAATTAAATACCTTTCAAAAAAGCCCATTTGAATTACTCCGGTGTTCCGGATGAGTCTGTGATGGAACCCCCAAAAATAACATCAAAGCACAAAGTTCCTCGGATCCCCCAGTCACTTCTGAACACTTTTCAACGTTGAAATACGTAGTCCAATATAACGGAAATAAATTTACCTGTTTGAACTAATTTCCTATACGGAGGGTTCAACTTTTAAAACTTGGAACGAGATTTTTTACTTTGGGGAAGTACCGTTTTCAAAACCCATGTTTTTGCACCACCGTGGGAAAATCTGATCAGTGGCAAAGTGGTTTCATGTCATTCACTTTTTAAAAAATTGCGTTAAATATATAACACCTAGATGTAACAGATTGATTCAAATAGTACAGATGGGAACGTAAAAACAATAAAACACCAACCTGGGTGATATATTGACTTCAAGGAGCCAAGGTCGGAGGTGTGAGTCGATGAGGATATCGAAGCCGAACAGCTCGTGAACGCTCTCCCGTCGGGCAACGTTGTGCAGCACCAGACTCGCCATTTTGGCCACCGCCGACGCCATTGTCTTAAAGACTATGTACTTTATGGACGTCCATAGTTTGGCTGTGTCATGTCCTTCCTTCTCAAGATAACGCCATAGAACTTGCAGAGGCCTTGAAATGAAAGGCAAATTTTAATTTGTGCAAGTGCACTAAACCTATTCTTCGGTGGAATCATGAGGACTTTATAATTGGCACCGATCCAACTGCAGAAAAAGAATCGACAAGTTGCTTCTAAGGTAAGCTCAAGGCGAGGTCTACCAAAGTTTAAAAGAAGAAAAACTGCAGCATTGGCAGACGTCTTCTATAGTAAAATCACACCTGCTAACGCACTACAAGTACTCGCCTAAGAAATGTTTTCAGCAACGAGTTTTTGATCGAGGATTTTGAATAATTGACCATCCGTTTTAAAAAATTCTTTGGTGAGTGATATTAGAGCCTCTTACACGTTTGGATAAAAGGAGTTTAATGTAACCTTCATAAGCTTAAAAATAGGTGCGTTCGCAGATCCTTTGTTTTAGTTTTGTAGCTGAGCAAGTTTTTTTCCGTAATCTCGTTGTGTTGGTTGTTAGCCTGGTGACTATAATACCTGAAATGCTAGTGGTTAAAATTACTGCAAGGGGTTTCAGTTCTGTGGCAGAAATACAAGTCGGTAATAAAATAAGGCAATGCACTGTTAAAATGGCATCAGATATTCACAATGGAGTTTCACGTCACTGCTTTACTAATTTTAAACACACGACTTCTATCTTCCTTAGAAATACTTCTGGAATACTGTAAAAGTTACAAAGTGAGTGAGGAGAAAGCAGGATAAGGGCCCACCATTTATGCGATTCTTTTTCAGCCGAAGAATTGCACTGCAGGTAGTTCGAGTTTCTTTTGTTAACAGAATAATTGGTGAGATGTACGAACCGGTTAGCAACATGAAGTTGTAGATTCGAATATCTGAAAATGGGGAAAATTTAAGTGTTTTAAAATCCATGTTAATTAGGGGTCCCAACAGATCCTCATCTACGCCTTTGATTTGGGTGAAGTATATGTGTTTTAACAAATGGCAGCACAACATTCATTCACGTCAAGTACCTCATTAGTCTGGTCGTTTTACTAAAATGGCAATAACTTTTCTTGGTACATAGTCGCTAATTTACATACTACCTATTCTTGAAGCAGGCAGGTGAGAGCTTAATTGCAAAGACCGCGAACTACGCGTAGATTAACATGTTTAGAAGGTAACTGGATTCTATAAGAGCCTCAATGACAGGTTTGTCGAGTATCGCTTCATCGGGTATCGAAGGCGGGAACAAATTGTAGAAACTGGATACAGCAAAAAATCACTTAAAAATTCGTGAAAAATCTGATTTACTTAAAAAAATAGGAAAAAAGCACGAAGTCTGCTGAAATTACTGAAAGGCAAATCCGCCCTTTAGACGAACTTGAAAGATGTGGCAGTAGCATGTTGTTGAAACAAGATGACTTTTGGTTAATTGGCTATTTCCGGGAGATTAAGTGGTTCACAGTCTACAAACATCCCACTTTGATGATAACAATTTCAAAATGATACACGGGACATATTCTAAAACTAAAGAAATGATTCTTTTGCATTTAAAGGTTGAACACATTCAATGAGGCAAAAAATATTGCTATATGTGAATCAAAAGGCATTAATTAAAAAAATCATTTAAGAAAAACGCCTGCCCATGTCGTTAAAGCGTTTGTAGCAAGGCATTTTCCTCGTGTCATTTATACGTTGTAAGTCTACAGGTCTTGAAATAAGATGCTAGTTAGTTGCGATCAAATTTCAGTCACGCCTCATTTCGGGAAATAGATTAAAAGTTGATTGCGGCAGAGTTTAAACATTTGCATACATTAATAGTATGAAGTGCGCACTTTTGCGAAGCGAACCGCACGAGGCCATTCTTATGGATGTAGAGTCGAAGTGGGTCCACACTGCTAGCGTAGACGTACAATCGAAGGTCAAACTTGTGACCGTTAATCAGGTAGGGTTCAGATATGTAGGCTTGGGCAATGGACTTCTTCCGTTTCGAAATTTCCGCAAACTTATTCACCAGATGTACGCCTATTCCTCTTGCACTGGCAGGCTAAAAATACAATTATCGTAATGCCACTGATCCGGCAGATTGTTGCTCTAATATAACCGCAGGTTTCCTCTAAGGACAAACAATTGCCAAGAGAGTTTGATTGAAGAATATATTAATAAACGTGATTAAGTTAATATACAGAATGTAGTCAGCCGTTTTCAGAATCTAGGCAAAGAATCACAATGACCACAATTGGTAATCAGTGACCCAAAGCCTCTAACTTTCTCAAATTCCCCCTCGTTTAAAATATTGGCATTTTGGCTGTCACAAAAAGCCACATGAATATATTTAAGCATCACAAATACTAAAGGCAACAAATTTTAAACGGTGATGTTGTCAGGGTTTCGGGGCAAAGAGCGCCAATTTTGCAACTGTACAAGAGCTCTATTCAAGCTACAGCAAAATGTCGCAGAATAGTGCACACAACACAACCAGCAGAATCTAAATGATAATTACATTACTGGTTTGATTATCCATCGCGCACAGCCACGTTTCGTGGGACAGGATGGATGCACGCCTGTATCTTTCTTCCACGTTTCCCTCAGCCGCGTGAGTTCCCGTGGCAAAATGAAAGTAGTTGGATAGAAGTTATACTCCGAGACACCGAACCGAGTACGCATTTTACCGAGATTCACGGTCAGGCGGTCTTTTCGACCCAGTTCAAATGAGCCTGGAAAGTGATTTAGTTTCTGAAAGTCTTTCAGTTGACGGAAAAGGTTCGGAGTGAGGTGTTTTCCGAAATATCCAATCCAGTCACAGTTTAACTCTATTTGTGCAGGTAAAAATGAATAATCTTTAACGTAAGGTTTGAACGTTGATCATGTTAAGTAAAATAATAAACGACGTAAAAATTCTGGACACAAAAATTGTCATCTAGCCAATTATACACTATTTTACCCCATTAACTGGCTATATTCTAAATTTTCCAAGCCAGATAGTCCCTTCGGCCAGCATCTTCTTTTAAATGGGACAGATTTCAACTTTTTTCTCATCTTAACAACTCGCTAGAAAGTGTATTCATTAACCAAACATACTCAAACTAATAAAACATTAGATTGGAGAACCGAAGCACATTACCTAGCACATTTGAAGGTCCCTTTTAAAGCTACTGATTCCCAACAGATCTGGTTATTGAATCTGTCTCCCAATTTACCAAAATTGTCTTCACAGGCACTGATGCGTTTACTCTACTGTAGTGCAAGACAAATGTTGATATCAAACAAATCACTTCAGTTATTGCTTAATAGAACAGACACTAATCCACACACATTACTTTTAATCGGTTCAAAGTGCTTTCCCAAATTAAACTTTAGCTATAGCTCAGATGACATTCGGCGTTCGAAGGAAGGGGAGCCAAACGTCATTTGTAACTCAAAAGCAGGTCAATTCCATCAACCGATGCGACTTCTGTTTCTATTTTTTTTACTACTCAACACATATACTTAATTTTTGATTTCGTGAAGATGAACTAAGACAAACCTGGAGTGACCTTGATTATTGGTGTATTCTGATAGTAAGTTGATGAGCTACGGTAAAATTTTGAGTTCTGTCCATAACATAATACTATTAGAATACCAACTCTAACTTCGCCACAAATAAAAAAAACAAAACGAAATAACCTGAACGTTAATTTTAACCCTTCATACCTTCAGTGAAATCCTCCACAACTAAAAAAATAGATTTACGTAAAAATAATTGCTTATGTGGGCAATATTTGGACTTCGAGTGCACTACCTTATAAATAAAATCTTAACAGCAATCCATAAATTTAAATATTTGCTTTTATGAATACCACACAAAATAAAAATTTCATCCAAAATGCATAACACACTCCTAGCATTATGGATCAGGCATCAGAAATTCTTTGGTTTTGGATACAAATAAAAATGGCTTGGAACTAGGTGTTTCAACTAAAGAAGCGTCTATGCTGACTACGAAGGTGGATTGATCTAAATGTGCTTACTCTCAGTCAGCCTAAAGTGAGATCGCTTCAATGCTCGCTTGACAACATTGGGGGTGAGACCACTGTTCCTCCAAATTAATTTTTTGATGATTGGAGCGGGTAGATGAGCCACTGGAAGAAAGTGAAAGAAAGAGATCAAAATCACCTGCTTAAGTTTAATAGCGTGACAATTCCTTGAAAATATACATGAAATCTGTAAACAATGCGACAGGATTTAATGTAAGTAATGCGAGTCAAAATCAATAAACCTTTTTCATCATCCTTAACAAAACGGAGAACAGGTGGCAAAGTCGGGAAGAGAGAAGGTATCGCGGGAGAATATACGCGAGGTGTTGCGACAGAACTACTGTTGCTCTACAAAAATAAGGCCACATTTGATCAGGCAGTACAGCTTTCTTTTAGATCCAATATTGCTGGCACCTTAACCAATGAGTTAAAAGTTTATAAATTAGGAGTCTGGGCAATTTAATCGATATTCGTTTAATCGGTTGATGTAATACATTGTACGCGTAAAAACCAACCAAAGTTTTGAGGTAAAAACAGCGTGTTTTATTTTATTTAATTGTATTCCATCAGTAGTTAATATGCACAATTTTCCTGAAATACTGTCGATTAGCAACTGATTTCAAGAGAAGAATCCAGGAATTTAAAATCGCTTTTAATCACTCACTTAATTGCTACAAACTCTGGCATTACCAACGCTAAATCCCCAGTCTAGGATTAAAGTCAAAAATCTCACCTCTGCCGAAGTTTAAAATCAGCCTCAACCAAAATGTTCGCCTCTTATTTTATCAACTTTGAATAAGTAAAAATTCGTACCCATGTGGCTGCCTCATCATCCGAGCCTTCATCGTCTTCAACATCAATGTCAAGGTCCTCAAAATCTGAAGTTCTGCTGCAGTTTTTTTGAGTGGTCTCAGGAAGTAATGGAGCTTGCTTTTCTGGATTTATAGGACTTTTAGGTTCATTTTTTTCGAGTTGAATGGCTTTAAATTTTTCCAATAAATCACCCCCTATTGGTGATAATGGCTTTTGTACATGTGTTTGATATTTTTCGTCAATTTCGGATGATAGTGGGGATGAAATTTCTTCATTGCTGTCGTCACCTCTTATTTCCTGATGCCAACTTTTTTGCAGGAAGTGATCGAATCTTGCAAACGAATCGGACGACGGCAGCTTTTTAGAGCTTTTATTTTCTAGTGTAGAATTTAGATTGGTGGCTCGTACAGGAGTTCTTGGTGGAATAAAACTGCCTGAGCGCATCCACGGCTGTCCAGAATACATTTGGAGGGAACAATAAGGACGAAAATTCAACTTTTCAACAACTTCTGCTGTCTCACTGTCCCTGGAATGAGTTTAATCAGAAAGAGAAAAAAACCTCCATAATTTAATCCGGAAAAAAATTGCGCGAAAGATGTACAAACTAGCTTACTCTTTTGTGCTCTTGTTGTCTTCTGCTTCAGTATCAGTCATCAGCCTCTCAGATAACTAAAAACTTGAAAATGTCATACCATCAGTTTATGGTGCAGAAAAGCTTTCTCGGAAAAACAATTGACAGATTTGTAATAAATCGAAATTTTATAGATTACAGAACGTAATTTGTTTTAACTTTGATGATACAGGGCCAACGGCAGATATGCTTGTAGAACTGAGAGAAGCTAATTGAGTTTAACCACAGATCCGCTGCAGCAATTAAATTAATCCGCTTTAATGCCGTCTCTAACCATGAGATCATCTTTTCCTTGATGAATATGCGTAAACAGACAGCTGCAAAAGTATTCAGCTTATTATGGCTATAAGAACTTAAACATCCACACACAACTGAGGTAAAGTATACGTAATAATACTACAAAGAGGAGGGAAAATCTACAATTTTGAACACTCTCAGCTCCTTTGCTAAAATTATCTACATCTTTTGCTACGCACCAAGTTGTTATATATATAGCCTTTTGTAAGCAGTGAAGACAAATTCAGCAATGTAGTCTACGAAATTATTTTTGACGATTAATTAAAACCACCACGACAATACGGCAAATGCTAAATGTTATTAGAAAAATGTATTCATATAAAAAAAGAATGCAAAAACTGTATAAACACATATATGCGCATTTTTCAGTTTGAATCAAAGATACACGAAAAAATATGCATAAACTCAGATTTAATAAATTTAAATTCACCTTCTGCTATGCTCCATAATATAACCTAAGAAATTTAACAACTTTAATTTACGTCCAAAGCATTGTAAAGACTTCATCATTTCTCGTGATGATTTTTAATAAATAAAAAGATGAGAATCAACTTTCGAGGCTATTTCAGCAACTGTGGTCCTGGTGATTATGCCTCACGACCCTCAATTAGTTAATTATTGAATTATTTAAACAAAATATTAAGTTGCCTAAAAAACCGTAAGACATCAATAAATGTCTGAGTGTGGCACATCTTTAATAATAATTTGCAAACATATTTTTTTAGATATCAGTGTATGACAAGTATCGATGTTAGTTTGATCAGTTTCTTCAACTGCGGAAACCGGCGTTAAAATTCAAATACAAAACAAGTCATTGTCACTATGAGAAAGTTGGTTTTTCGACGCAAAGGGTACAATACGAAACAATTAGCACAAAGTTCTCTTTTTACAAACTTTACTGTTAGATAAAATTATTCGTTAAAGTGTTAGCCGTTGGATAATTAGCCTCCTAAAACTTTACTTTATTTGCCTTCGAGTTTTTATGGCCCTTGAGTGATTTTTTTAACTTTTTTTAAATCGGTACCCCTAAATTTAGTGAAAGCCTGGAATGATTTGATTTTTACTTTAATTTTTATTCCACGACAAGATGCTTAATTTAAATGAAGAAGCTTGATATTAAAATAGGAAATAAGTTTTTACGTGAATGCACAGAATATTGGTTGAATGTTTTTGGGAAGCAAAGTAAAAAAATTATACCCTTGTTCTTGTTCTTCTTATTTATTCTGTCTGATTTTATTTCGTCTGAACTTATCAGTACGAAGCTAAGTTAATGATCCTGAAAAAGCAATTTCTTACAATAGCATCCTGTTTATTCATATATAATTTGTTAAGCTAGTAAATCAGTGTCTGCTTTGTTCATGATTAACTATATTTTATTCGCAAATTCTATAGCGACCAGACACACTGTTCTTGATCTTAAAGTTTTCTCTTTAGATTCTCGGAAGTTTGTTTTATCAATTCCTCTTAATTAAACTTGCACCAATTAATGGAATTTTCGTCAGTCCATCCATCACTTTTTCAGGTGGTGGTTCTTGAGTTGTTATTTATATGAAACTCAAAAACGTTATTAAGCATATAGGTGCGATGGTTTGGTATTAAGTTTGACTGACAGCCAAAGAATTCCCTGAATCTGTATTACTTGCCATCAGGCTATGTTTGAAGGTGATTGGGCAAATTGTGGGAGTAAATACACCGTTTTTTTGTTATTTTGATGTGTTGCAACGTTGCTTTCCTCCTAACCATCTTTTCATCCTTGCTAGTAGACAGTAAATTCGTTTCTTGTGAATAACCTTGACCTTTATAGGAAGATGTAAGTATTTTGTCAGATGCTTCGCAACATTTACTTCCGTCCTGGTATTGTGAAATTTGTGAGATTTAGTGTCATAAATTGTCGGCAATCTTCCTGAAGACCACAAATTTAAGAAACTATTTGTGGATGTAATATTACATAGAATTCATTAATTTTCGAGCCACCGATATTACTGATTTTACCCGTTTTATGAACAGATAGTCTGCGCAAAATCATCATTTGCTTTTCAATCAGTAAAAGAGTACTCTGTATACTCAAGGCGACCGTTTATAATTTATGTAAAAAATTGGACCTAAATTTTTAGTGAGGTCTATACATTTGCGAATGAAATATAATTTCCTTGGACCTTCCTACTAATTGGTACAACGCCGTTAATTCAATGAAAAGTCAATAAAATGTCCAAAAGGCTAAGTCGAATAACAATACAATGCTTTTAAGCAGATTTAGCTTAAGATCCAATGCCCTTCTCAGTCAGAGCAGGACAGGGAGTCAAGTAGCACTGGGGGTCATGTAGCATATTTTGGAGTCATATTTGTTATTTAGAAATTGATAACGTTTTGATAAATGTCTTCATCTGTTTAGGTAGGCTCTTACAAAGATTCTCTTTCATTACTTGAAAAAAAATTTAATGATAGATTGTGATTAATTCTTAGGGTGAAATGTGCAGTGTCTTAGCACATATGAGTTTTGTTTGAATTATTTATAAAGATTTCGTAAGGTTTTAGTTTTTCTGTAATCAATGCATATACTGCCCAAAGACATCTCCAAACGATCCTAGCCGAAATGTACTTATAAGCAGCATTTACCTTTTACTGTATTTTTTTGAAACTTGTGCATCAGTAATAGTCAAGACGAATTATCAACGACTGAAACCGCGGCAACAGTGATAAAACACGCTTCCTATTTCGAAAACAATGTTAAAAGATGGAAAAGGTAGGAATGACTGTCGACTTATTTTTTTTATCCAGCAGACCAATGTCCGTTTGTGACTTTAAATTTAACCGATTGCTTAAGTTGCTTTTGTCTATTGTCCAAAAAGCTCGACAAGGAGGGCTTCACAAGATCCTGACACCTCCCAAACATCAATCATGTGAATGTTTCCCAATGTCTAATTGCTCCACTCGTTGAATGTGCATGATTATGACCGTCATGATCCATTCTCCCAATTCTTTTAGTGACTTTGAAGAAATGGCGTCGCATTTCCATATAAATAGGTCTATACCAAAAATCCAAGGACCATTCAACTACTGTCCGCAAAAGATAATGAATTCGCATGATTAAATTAGCAAAAATATACCGACTTGTTAGTTACGATGCTGTTCATAAAGCTTTCAAAAGCACGAAGGAATGAGGTCAGCAACTCCTAGTTCTTACTGTTATTGTGCTTAATTTATTTTTGTTTCTCGAACACTTGACTTAATTATGTTTGACTCGAATATCAAGTTACTTAAGCGGTTGGACTAAGTTGTCGTGTAAAGCCACGATGAACTGCCACGTCTAATTTATATCATAGACTTCACCTCTCCTTCGCAGCAATGGCCTCGATTCTAACGAACTGCGTAAACACGATGCAACTACGAAAGCACGACTTTAGTAAATGGCTCAGCGTTTGTTCAATGTGTCAGTTAAAACATAAGAATTAAATGGAATTGACATTCAGGTGAAAGAAGAATTTAACCAGGAATCAAATGGTCTAATTTAAGAGCAAGTTGCGTATAACCAGTAGGAACATTCGCACACTATCTTTATTGGAATGATTGCACGTGCGTTAGGCCTTCATTTTTGCTCGTTGGAGTATTTTTATGGTAACGATCATTATTTACCTAAAAGCCCACAAATTGTGAAAAGGATTCCTATTTTCCCTGTTTATCGAAATCGCTGTTGATGAAATGTCTCATCCAGTAGGAAAACGTCACGAAGTAAAGCCACCTGAGGGAACTGTGGTGGTTTGCTTACACTACCTTTCAAACCTGTCATTTGACATCCCTTAACAATCCGAGAATAGGGTCAAGACAGGTGACAGCGTTGAGTAGCTTTGGGCTAGCTAAGTGTACGAAGTGGTTCGAACCCTTTGCCTCTCTCCTCTGTTTTTGGGCCGTTATGGGCTGGCATGATGCTAATAAACGGTCGTTGTCTTAGTGCCTTTCAACATTGACGATTATTTCAGCCACTTGAGAGAGATTTTCCCATTGAATAAGCAATGCAAATCATATGTGTCGTAATGCGACTTCACTTTTTAAACTATTCTAAAACAAACACTGTCATAATGTAAATTTCAGTTTGTGTGGCCTGACATTTATGGGACTCCGTCGAAATTCATCGAGATGGAATAAATGGGAAGTCAGAAGGTAATTCTGACTGAATCGCCAGTATAGCCTACAAAGATACGTACTTTAAGCACAGATATGAAGTGTTTCTAATTATACGATGATAGATCCTTTAATCTGTGTGGGATAGTATTCATATATAACGTAAGCACAATAAGTAGATTTTCAGCATGGCACATTGCTCCTAGCACCTAGTTTGAAACAGGAAATACAAAGGAAACATAAGTTAGATTGTTTAAATCCAAACTGAAGCACGTATTTCGACTTCCTAGCTTCTCTTTATTACCGTCAAAAGGAAAATTTAATCCCCTTCCTTATCAAAATAACAATTATTTCTATGTTTTGTATTCAAGACATCATTTAAAACTAAGCTCGGATGTACTAACTAAAAAGAGCAACTTTTGATCAAATAGTACTCTGGTTTGCACTACTTTAGTTCGGCAAAATTGTCCTTTTCGAGCCTGAGGGTCTCGATAAATGCCTGATAAGCTGCCATTTTCATTTCCAAATTGGTCATCGCATCGATGGTCAATGAATCAGCCAGTAGCAAGCTTTTTACAATTTTCAATAAACTCCCAGCATTGTGAAGTCGAAGGTGGTTACGGGAGGTGTATGTTGACGGGTGCTCAGTCACCGGGTAACTCACCACCTTGCTGACAACTGCGAAGACTATGACAACGAAGCCAAAAAACCCAGTGGAAGCCATTAATGCTCTTTGGACTTCTGACCATCATGGGACTTAAATACACACCAACAGACCTTTGTTTGCGCACACTGGACTGTAGTTGGGTCACCTTCGCGAACTCACGAGCTCATTGCTTTAATGGGAGGTGTAAATCAGAGAAATTGTCAGATTATGCACGTAGCAAATTAGTAGTGGGAGATAGGCTTTTGAAAAAAAGGGTTCCTTGTAGTCTGTTGTTTTACAGAGAATAAAATGTCGCGAACCTCTGTATTCCCTGATTTAACGACGTATCTAAAATCGGTTTTTGTGAAACTTTTCACATTCCTACAATACACAACCAAGATACCTAAGAAAGAGAGACTGTCAGATGAAGTTCAGTAAATTAAAATTAGAAAACCAAATTCCTAACAAAAAATCATGCAGTTTCTGCAAGGTATGTTGTGAGATGTGAATTAAGTGCAACTTGTTGATTTGCACACTTCACATAATTTTGGCGATAGTAAAATTACTGATGAAGCCATGGTAGCGTGTGTTATGTCACAAACAATAATCACCAAAAAAACCACTCACTTTCAGGATTTAGAAAGATCTCAATGGTTAATGTTGATAGGATGTGTGCGGTAAACCCAGCCAATTGAGTAAATATGATTTAATGTTCACAATAATTTTTGGAGGGACACATGGCAAACAGTTTTTCAATTACCTTGTGTGGCAAAAATAAGGACAAGAAACTTCAATGGTGGATCATTTATTTTCGATCATTTAGAATAAATCAAATAGAGTTCAAATTTTTACGTAAATAATTGTGTAAGTCGTCAGAATCCGCTATCACTTACTCCCTAGTATGTCTCCACGGCTCTTCGTCAAAAAATTCGTTCAATCGGTATCGGTCCGGATAAACCGCGTCGTCCTTTCTGGCCTCATCTGGTGTCGCCTCAATCTCTTCCTCCGGAATCGGTCTGGGGGTCGTCATTTGTTCCTTGCCATCCGGCTTTATTTCTTCACTATGATGTCGTGGAGGAGGCTTAATGAAACGTCTTTCCTCCACGTATAACAGTATCTTGATAATGTCGCTGAGTTTGTGCTTCTCCAGCAAGCCCGTGATCGTCGTCTGTTCAACTTCAGTGAATCCCGGTGGAGGAATTACCGGTGTCGCTGTCACAAGAGCGGCAACAAAAAGAATAATAGCGGATACTAAGGTAGCCATGTTTACTATGAACCGGTCTTTGCAGTTCGCCCTTTTATAGGCCTTATTTACCTGGCGGTGTAACCTTTGGACGTCTTGGTAAACATCACAAGTGCCTACAAAAAGACAACATGGCTAAGTTCCAGTAAGATGGCTAATGACCACAACAATGGCGAACACTCCAGTGGTATTGTAACAGCGCTGTATTGACTAGTCATAGACAATGTTCCTTAATTACGCCTGAATCTGCATCCTGAGTAACCTGTAGTCTGTAGAGACTCAAATTCATTTAACTTTCTGCATAAAAACTGACGTATTATGGGGGCAGCTTATTTAAAAAAATAACTTATGGCTACGTGAAGCGTGGTCCAGTACTCATGCAAGGCACTTTACACTAATAAGGTAGAAGTCTGAAATTCAAGCCACCCTTTTGACAGTCATAATCACTGGCGCTAACTGACAGTCCTGTTACTTTTCTATAACTCGCCTCAATCATTGGCTCATCATTTGGTCTTTGTGCGAATAAATGAAGAAAAAATAGCTTGCAAGAATCGCTACTCGGGTGAGTGAAGAGAATTCACAATGGACTGTGACTGTGTAAAACTTGAACCAAATTCATACAAAATCTTCAACTGGCTAAATATCTAATATTTCTAGTAAGATGTGTTCAAATTGGTAGAATTAACTTAAAATATGCTGTACTTAAGCTAGCGGACGCGTATAATTATATAGATGCTCAGAAGGCATTAGTTATGGCGCTAAAATTTACGAGAATATGTTGAAGTAATGATAAAGGCTTAGGTACACAATGCTGGCTTTGTTAATTAAAATTAAGTTTCTAGCAAAGTAAACCACATTGATTTCCATTACATATTTGCTTAAACGTTAACTTTACTCCCTAACACCTTCATAGCTCATTCGATCAATTTATTTGCATTTCCGAAATACTGCGGCGAGTTATATACTGAAAAGAGGACATCTGCAATCATTAAGCGTTTGTGTTTACTTACAAAATTGGAAATTTCGAAAGGTAACTAGTCAAATAAAACAAGAGGCAAACCGAATATAGTCATGAAAATACGGCTAATAGAAATTTCACTTGATCGTCTTTTTAGAAACGAATCACTAAAGTTCCCATTTCTGCTACTTGACGTTTTGTTAATTCACAACAGTTGGGTTTAAATTTTTGATTTTAGAGAACCTAGTTAGTCCGGCATTTAGCGTCGTGTTCTCATTAGTGAACTTCGGACCAGGCTCTAGTTGCACACTCCTACATATTGTAATTGTGATATTTATTGACCAAAGTACCGTTTCGCATCTACTGAAGGACACGATATCATGGAGCAGTTGACTACTAGTGCTTGAGTACATCTAGCATGAACTTATAGTAAAAATTAATGACACTTCCAAGTCCATTTAAACGGTCCATGCACTATCACCAGTAAATCGTAGTACCTGTTCTGATTTGCTTCACTTTGTTGCATAAAATAATCCTCTATTATGACTTAACTTTGGTAATTGCAATGTCTTGAGGAAGTGGGTGCCTTACAAAATCACATACGTCTTTGCTTAGAATCGGTGAAACCCAATCAATATTGACTCGACATGAAATTGGAGTGTAATCATTTCTCATAAAGTTCACTTTAGACTGCTAACTAGTTCTAAGCAAATAAAGCAACATAGTTGTTTGTCTTGGCAAATTATCTCAGAACACAATTTCTGACAACAAAAGCACAAACATCCGTCTTAATGGAAATCTGATCAATCTTTCGAAATGTTTGAAATGCACACGACCAGATCACTGTAATACAACCCATTTAGTGCAAACGTAAATTTAGCTAACGTTTTAAGCCCATACACATGTGTTAGGAGTTCAACTTAACAAATACCTGAGCCCTTATTTGCTGACCACAGTATGCACCGTTGATGAAATTTTACTAATTTGCTCTTTAGCGTGTGAATCTTTCACATGGCTCTCACACGTGCTGAATTTGCAAATTGGTTTCGAAGAGGCGATGAAAATAACGAAAACGAGTAATCGGTCTCATTTTCGTGATATATTTTGAAGATGACTGCTTAAGTCTTGTTTGCAGTATTCGGACACTCAATTTTCGGTGTGGAACACGTGACCACTAAAGGTGATCTAAGAAGTCGGTTTTTGAAACCACATTAAAACGGAGCTAGCTCTTCGGAGCCCTCATTTCTTCGTTGGTATCTTTTTCTAATAGCGCTGCCTTTTTCTTGCATCCTCAAAGTCATTAGTTTTCAACCGTTGCCAGCTCATGATGCTGTATTCATGTGAGATATATGACCCCACATTAACCACCATCCTCAAAGTATTTAAAGGATATATTTCAACGCCTCTTAGGCCCACATTGGACAGACGTTTTTAAAAAATATGAAACAGAGCTTTACTTGACGTAAATTTTGCAACTGTAAACAAGAGGTTACGTGTTTTGGCTTGTTCATGAACTACCTTTGATTGATTTGTGCTGTGGAAGACAAGTGTTCAGACACTTTCTACAGTAATAGGAATTTGCCATAGCCGGCTATTGAAATGGCATTACTCTTTTCAAGGTTGGCAGCGTTGCTTTCTAAGACATTTGCAATTGGCACGTAGGAAGAGACCAATGTATCCTCCACAATACTACCACTGGATGGCGTCTGCTAAAGCAGGATTCGAGCATGCTGAGTGCCAAATATTCTTTAGTATACCTGTTTTATTTCCGTTTAATGACCTCTCACTTGAGACTAGTTGGGTTTTGATGGTTACTCGAAAGCCTATTCGAACAAGGCTAAGGCATCATTAAATAAAGTCAGGTTAGCACTGGCTCAAATAGTTTGCCCAGATAAAAAGCCAGATGCCTCGGTTACATGCACCACTTTTTGCCTGAGCTTTACCGGCTTCATTGTATTAACGTATCAATAAAATGCATTTTGTTTATCGTCATTCACGAACAGAAATACTTAAGTAATTGTTAACATCAACATTTTTACAACTGTGCCTTCGATAAAATCACATTTCACTTCTGTTCACACGTTTAACTCTAGAGTAAATTCGAAGAAATTTACATATGCAGATTGGTTCCAATGTGGTTTCATTCAATTGTGTTTCGAGCGAAGCCCGAACTTGCATTGCTGGTAGTAACCTGGTCAATTAATTAGTTTTTTTGTTATCTCTGAGGCAAGATGAGTTACTGGACCGAATGTAAAGACATATTTACCGTAAACCATGAAGATTCTACAAATAATAACATGCCTACTCATTTATATTCTTTAGATTTAGGCACATGGGAGTCACTCCAAATGATATTGTGATATATTACCAGATAAGTCACAACTAATACGAAGAGGTCTTTCGATTCTCCAAAGGGTTGGTTTTCAAACACGTGACTTTATGAAACCCAAACAGGTCAAATGTTTACCTGAGTTTACTAAACCTTATTGACATCAAACTTCCCCCGCAGCTATTCTTGTAATTATTCATTTTTAGTTTATTGCTCACTTAATTGGTTAAAGTTTGGCCACGCAAGCCATTCACTGTGATTGAGCAGGAAATTGCCACCAAGCAATTTGGCACTGTTGAGAAAAACCACAAATTTAGTGGCGATTTTTTTATTTGACTCAGCAACGGGACCAAATGCAGTGCTATTGCGATCGCCTGGCCTCACACCGGCAAAGCAATGCAGCTAAAGTGGCTACAACAAGGCTAGAAGTCCACGAGATGGTAGACAATAGATAGGACCACTCCTTTCCAATGTAACTTGTATAAACCAGTACTCCGGTGCAATTGATTGCAGTGCCTAGACAAAGCGAAACCAAATAGAGTAGGCCGATACCTCTCTGGCCGACAAAATCCTCTCCACTACAGAAGCGCACCAGTCCAAGTATGAAGGCTATCGTCCAAAGGACCGTACCTGTCACCAGCATTCCCGCACACGCTAAAGCAGTCTTCACGCTTTGAGCGATTTGCATGTCGAAAAGGCTTCCGCCTTTCCAGTGGGTCGTGGATACGGCGATAATGATTATGCAAAGAGCGCAGCCAAGGAGAGTTGATGACAAGGCCTGAGAGACCGATGCCATCAGTGCTAACCTGAGCGAGGCAGCGTTGCTATGCCAATTCTGACTGTGCAAGCTCGTATACGCAGGTACATGTGTGGAGCAGCCAATGAAAGCTTAGTTGAGTTTTGTGCTGGAAACTGTGAGTAAGCGGTGGCCCACGAAAGACAGGTAATTATGAATTTTTTAAACCGTCGACAAAATCAGTCACGGTTTCTAAATTGACAGGAACGACCAAAATATTCGGTTTCCGCGAAATTGGTGGTCTTTTGCCGGAAATCATAGGGCTTTAGATTTAACTTTAGTTACTGACAGGTTTTTATTTATTACCTAAAAATAATTACCCAATTTAATGGAAATAAATGTATCATGATGGAAGTTTATGCTATCTGTAAGAACTACAGGTTTTCCTTCTTTGGACGTCCAGCAGTATCACTTAAGGTGGTCAGACGGTATTAATTGTCGTTAATGTCGCTATGACATTTTCATCAATAAAGTTATTTATTTTGAACTGTGTTTATGAACTGAATTCATTGACTAAAATGGCCATTTCCTCTGTTAAGACTAATTTGCAGTGTGCGCATATTTAAGGTCTGTGAGCCTTGCACTTGAATACAAAGTCGCGCATTTATTGGATTCACGCGAGTACATGAGTGTGTGTGTGTGTGTGTGTCTAACGAGACCAATCATGTTCACGAACACGTCGATTGTTAAACAGCAATAAGTTGCACTGGCCTCCACACATACACAGGACTGCTTGCGTTCATTTTTTTAACCACAAGTAGAGACACCTCTGGTGCCATGACGAAGACTTTAGTAGAAGTTAGCCATCTCCCCATAGTCCTTCTAGCTCTCTCATTTGTCTTCTCAGCAATAGCTGTTGGGACCCCTTATTGGGAGGGTGGCAGTCTCTTTTCTTCAGAAAATCTTCATTGGGAGGAATTGTGTTCTGCAATGGGAGCACTTATAGTCCTCGGGTGCGCTGCTATGGGCCTGGCCTTCCTACTTGGTGTCTACTGGACCGTTTACCCTAATATGCCGGGACCGATGCTGTTAGCGTTCTACATTGCAGTGTATTTGGGTGCGATTTCGTTAAGTATCGCAAACCTTGTTTTTACAACAATGATTAACAAGACATGGTCATTCTTTCTGGCCATTATAGCGTGTTTCTTCACGGGCCTAGTTATTTGGATTGAATTTCCTATTCTTTGGACTATTCCACTACCGTGGAAACATCGACCGCCACCAGAACATGTGTAACTACATTTTATGCCCAATTAAAAAATTTTTATGTTTTTACGTAAAGCTTAATAACATGGGTTCTCTTTAAGTGATTTCTAAAATTGCTACTTGAATACAATTCAGTGAACTTGTTTCAGTTTAGCCGAGTTATGAAAAGACCAACTTTTCCGTTATTAGGAAGAGGTCTCAGCTAATGAGGCATTATTTGGTGTCAAAGTAGAGTGGTAAAACTTAATGAAATGAAAAGAGACAAATAAACTAATTGGGTTTTACTTGTCAACCTTTCAAATTCGTAAACAAGGGGACTGCTGATAAGAGTCCATGAGGCCTGCTCAGTTCAGAAACACAATGACTTACAAGGTTAGAATAAAAAAATATGTTTTCATATACTTGACTTCAGTACCAAATTGTGAAAACTTCGGTATCCTTTGTGTCTAAATTGACATTTTTATAAATTACAAGTGTGCTGGGATGTAAGAGGACAAAGAGTGTTGGTTCTATGCATGGCTTTCAGGCTTCCTAAATTTGAATTTTTGTTACCACCATCCAAAGAGCTTAGTAAACAAAACGTGAGCACTAAAACATCCTTTATGTATTACATAGTAACTGTGATTTATACTTTACGCAGTTATAAAATTAAAATATTGTCCCAAATGTCTGCCTTCAAACCCCTCAGCATGCTCTTGATGCCTAAAGCGTTATGAGCTCTTGTGGAAATTTGCATTGGAAATGAGGGGAAGTTCGTCAAGAGCTGAACACGATATGTACAATTTTTGTGCATACAGATGAATGACGGTAGGGTTATTGATAATTGCAAAGTCAGAATCCCACTAGTTCTTTACACATTGTTTTCAGCGGACCTTCTATTTGCTCTTAAGCCCCTAATTGATCTAAACTGGCATTTAAGAAGACATGGGCTCGTGTCGACAGATATTGAAATTTTGAGTTGTCTTAGAAAAAAAGCAATTAAACGCAAAAGTTAAAGTCCTATCAATTTTTCTGAAAGAAAATATGTTGTGTGTGAAAATAAAATATTCGGGTGTTTTGTAAATATACTAAACAATCAACAAACAAATAGTATGTTGGGAGTACACAACTGATTAAGTAGAAAGTACTACCTTACAGTAGTCGGTAGGAAACAAAAACCTTCAACAAAGATGTATACAAATATGTCTGCAGAGCAATAAAATCCAAATGCAACTGCAGGAAACTGCAGCTGAGAAATTACCTTGAAGTTATCCGTTACTGTCAGTGGGAAAGGAGAACAAAAGATAACCGCCCCGAACAGAATTGATGGTTGGTTAAACTTATTATGATCTTCTAAAACCAACGCCTCCTTACTTCAAACGCGATCATTCAGTTGTGCCTTTTTTACATGTTACTTCTCGAAACCCGCCTGATAACTTTAGGAATAATTTGAAATCTTGGTAATAAACTTGCGGACATAAAGACTTCATATCAGTCGTGCCGAATGTTAAGACATAGAACGACAGATTCTGATCGCCTACTTTTATTTTAATTTTTTTTTGAGAGTAATTTCAATTTCTACTCCCACGGACGTTAGTTGCCCAGCCATTTACCGAGCACAAAATCCTATGAAAGGGTGTAAATATCTATGACTTCTGTTTCGATACGTCATCTATGCATATATGTGAAAAATGACCAGAAGCATAGGTGAAATGTGAACATTATCCAACACGTGTTTATTACTCGCGCTTACTCTGATCATCGGCTCAACCTTGGGTTTGATACGTCAAAGCAAAAAGACTATTTTAGCTACTGGTGAAAAATTATCTTAAATATTTTAAACTTATTTGCCTATCGACAGTAAGTGTCTAAATTAATTGGGTAGACAGTACCTAAAGGTTAAACGTTAATAATCTCTAAGTCAGTTGTTAGCTGTTAAAGTTGGCGAATAATTGCTTCTCTATGCTCCTCCTAGAAATCGAAATTTGTGTCGATTTCCCGAAATCCTCTCAGGTAACTCACAATTGACTTATATTTCTGTTAACTCTTATATGCAACACCGCTCGATGAGCTAATAGAGATGACATCCACAATTCGTTTTATTTTGCCCTCAGGAATTTCTACCTATGCGTTCTCGATTAGCATAAAACTATTACCTCGCTCATGTGAACGGTTAAATTGGAGCTGATTAACCTTCTTTTCTAAAAACCACCTCATATCTACTAGATTTAGTACCATTTGGTTTTATGCAGTCAATCCACCATCCCTTCTTAATCACTGAGTAGTAATCTGGGTCAATTAAATTATTGCATTTCAAAAAAATTACTTGCTAAGACTGTAATTGAACTATTTTTTGTATGCCTGGCATGCATTTAAAAGGTATTGAAAAAATTCGTGTTTAACAAATACAAGACCAAAAAATCTAAATTTTATTAGAGATCTATAAATTTGAAAGGGTGGGGTTTATGATGTAATCTAGTAATTTTAGTAATTAAAAAACCTAGAATACTTCCATACCGCATTTTTTTCCACGCATTTTTAAAACAGTATGTACAATTCTCACAGCCATGATTTGCGACTTAAATGACTAATAAACATTATTCGACTTTCCTGAAACTTTAGCCCTTGAAACAACTTCTTGGAGTTAGAAGTTTAAAACTATTTCCGTACGTTTTTATATTCGAAACAATAGTTTTCGTAATTCATTGGTTGAGAGTGTAGTCTAACATACGTATCTTTATACGAATCCCTAAGTAAATTCTGTTGAAAATTTTTAAGACACTAACTGTTGGTGAAAGAACAATGTGGGGTTGGCATCCAGATTTTGTTCAGAATCGACAACATATTTTTTCTGCCTTCACTTTTCTTTAATAATACTGTACGAATCTAATAAAGGGATTAGCCAATATGTTTTAATTTTTTAATTAGTACATGTATTTATGGTAGTCGACCTGCGTTTTGATAGAAAAAAACTTGATCAAGACCACACAAAATTCAACCAGTCGAGCGTTTTCTTTAGAAGGGTTTCCAAACAACTGAAGTGAGTAAGTGTTCCCGAAAATCCAAGTTATTGAAAGCGTCATGTTATGTATTTTGTTTCGTAAAAGCATGCGCTTAAAGGCAACCACCTGTCGTGAACGCCCGCAAAGCCTTTATTTCACGCTTGAAGTAACCCCGTCACTGTACATGTGGGCACCCTCCAGTTTGATCGTAGCTACTGGGCGTTTCTTGCCATCCTTTAAAGCTGGATCCACCCTAAAAGATAAGCACACTTGTTAAGATTTTGCAATCGTAACAACATGCCTCACCTAGTAAATTCAAATTAGCTCTGATTTTTTTGAAAAAAATTACTGTTGATTTAGGTAACGCAAAATCCGCCAGTGATATTTAACTGAAAAAGCAACCATTAAAATCCAAGTCATGTTAATTGACAAATTCATGCTTTAGTTTTTGAGTGGAAATCTGGTTTGAAAGGAACCTGAAAACACCTAAGTAATTAAGCCCGAGATTGATTTTATTAGCTAAAAAATACGACTGCTTTCAGAAACATGGTAGCCATAAGTGATTATTTGGGTTGATAAACTTCCTATATCGTAAATTTATGCGTTTTGGTGGTTAAAAGATTCCGACAATGGAAATATACGCTGTGTGTTCCTAAAAGTAAAAAAAGACAAACCGCATTAAAGCTTGTGCAAACGTTTGGAAGGACACCATCAGCCTATACCAAGAAAGGATTTAGTGTAGGCTTCTCTGAGACCAAAGAAGTGCTGAGGTACAACCTGCCCTGTCAAGGCTAGGAGAATTTCATGGCAGCCCCAAAATTGAACTTGGGAAAGGGGTCAAAATCTTGGTTTTTGTTAAGCTACTAAAATAAGTGGTTGTGTTTTTGGCCAAGCGAACAGGTTAAAAACCAAGTTTTGAGTCAGCTCAAACAGAAAAGTCGAGCCTGAAATTCACAATCATCCAATTTACTTGCTACGAAATCGAAAAAACGGCGGCTGTTTAAACTGGTCGACGTGTCAGATGGAAAATGGTTAAACTACGCCGCTCTAGAAAAAAAATCGTTTCTCTGTTGAATATTTCATGCAGTGAGAACTTGGTTTCATCTAACTACCACTTGTTTAACATTTAAACTCTCTATCATTAAAACGAACTTCGAAATTGAGAATTTGAATGTTCATCAGCTTTAAAAAGCGAACTACTGAGCTCTATGGCAAATACCATTGTTTTCTATTTAGGAAGTGGCAAGAGGCAATTACAGGAAGTGATATTTGATTTTGGGTAGATTTTGTTATAATGTTTGTAATAAATTTCACACAGAATTAAAACTTAGATGTGACTTACGTGAGATTATGTACACCATTGATAATGAGAAGACTATTGGGTTGTGACATGACCTTATCACTGATGGACATGTTTTCCAGGTACTGGCTGATTAGAGACCTCAAGGTACAATTCTCTTTTTCCAATGATTTGCGTTCTCTCAGTAGTACCAAGCTGTCTAGTTGCGCTTTGCTGAAACGGCGCCAAAATATTTCAAGTGGTTCGTATCGCTTTAGCAGCTAAATAAATGGGACAAACACTAATTATAAAATGATTTGTTTTTAAATTCAGAACCCAAACTTCCTTATTTTATGCTTGATTCTTATAGAAAACATAAATGTTGGAAACGCTTTCATGGCTTGTTGATGATGCGAGTTATCCCGAGGTACTATAAATAGGTATTTACAGGCACCAAGCTTTAAAATAGCGAGCATTGAATTCAAAAGTAAATTGTGAGCTTTAATCGCACACTTTGGTGAATTAGGCTACTGATTCGAATATATAGTAATCCATCGCAAATCAAGCAGTGGTAAGCGCTAAATCCGTTCCATACCCCTGTACCCACTAATAAGTTGGGTTGCATGCACACGTGACATCACAAGCCATACTTACCGCCTTGATATCTAAGTCTTCTTCATTGTTATACGCCTCTGATAGTTCTTTTTCTTCCTCTTGTGTTAAACATGAGGTATAAAAAGGTAGCACTTTTTCCTCCTCCGTTTCTAAGCAACGACATTGCTCACCAAGTCCAATGATGATATTAGCCTGTCGCACCATTTCAGCGACTGCTTTGCGTACCGAACTACTGATGTTTGCCAAATTTGTAAGCTTCACAAATTGGCGGTCATGGAGTTGGTTAATTTGCCTCTTCAAATTGAGGAAATGCGCACGTAAACGATCGCGCTCTTCACAGAGCAGTCGATTTTTCTCCTTGTATTCCTCCTGTACCTTGGCAAGCCGTGACTTCTCTGTGACAATTCTACTACTGACGTTGTTCAAATGTATCATCTGGTATTCGATATCCTTTTCCGCTTGTTCATTACGGCTCTTTAATTCTTCATAGAAGGCGCGGCGTTCCTCTGTGGCTTTAAGATAATTTGCCTTGCACGTTGTAAACTCTGCCCAGAGAATATTCACTTTTTTTTCAAGAACCATCCTCAGAGCATGCTTGTTTTCAATAGCCTTTAAACGAGATGCGAGGCATTGGTAGATCAATATGCCACGCATATTTAATGTACAACGTTTGCTTATACGCGGGTTCAGTCGCCAGTAATTATAAAAAACGTCGTACTTTTACTACTTTTAAGATAATCTTTGAATCATAATCAAAGCATTTGGCTTTTCAGCCATGAATGGTCAAAACTTTGAGAGCCTAAGAATGCTTCAAATTTTTCTGTAACAAAGTACCACATTTTGGTCTTAATGATACGTTTTTGAATCTGTTAATGTTTGGACTATATTGGCTGGAAAGGATGCAGAATGCATTTGCAAATTGCTAATAATTGCATAAATGGCATATTTAAATACAAACGCTTTCAGGCCATTTGATAGTTCTTAAAGCACTATTGGAAATTTACTACCATTTTCGAAAACCATTGATTGGAACCACAATCCACGGTGCAGTAAATATGGTTTTATTTGACAAATTCTAACTGTTTTAACGAGGTCTTATTGTACTGTTTTAGTAAGTACTTAAATAATCAGCTGTTACACTTGTTAGCAAAAGAGAAAAATTAATTTAACCAAAGAGCTGCTAGTATTGATGCCTAATTTAAACGTGGGAACACACCCTATTTTTCATTTCATCCCGCACGTTTCCATATTCGTTTCTGGCTATCGTCTCCTTTTGTAGGAAATATTTGTCAAAAGCCACGTAGATGTCCTTAAGTTCGTCTATTTGTTGCTTGTGGCTTGTCACCATGTGCGTCTTCTCTAGCTCATACCAATTATTACATTACGCCTTTTACCTGCGTCATATTCCCTTTTCATCATTGACAGTTCCTGATCAAAAGATTTTTTCATGCGATCCAACTGCTGATTTTGGATCTCTATTATAAAATTCATAGAAGCAGCAATTAGATGTATGTTTCCTTGTTTTTCTTGCAAAACGGATTTCAGTAAAAAGTCAAAATTGGTAATGAATAGATTGTGAGTAGACTAACTACTGTAGCGACCTTAAATAATTATCATATCCATGATACTTTACTTAGTAAAAAAATGTCTCAATGAGAACCTAAAACATCAATGGCACGAGAAGCGTGCGAAAATGGAATCCCTAATTGGCAAATATCTCAAGATTTAGTTGTTATTAACCCCGTTTACTTGGATAGTCTATTATTTTATGCAATATAAAAACGTTGCTGATTTCCTCAATCTAAAACGTGGTATTAAGATCTTTGTGTTGATTACCGCATACAAAAACTATCAAAAAGTGGCTCAGTGCTAATTAACAAATAAAGATTAAAAGTAAAGAATGTATTGTTTTAGCAGGACACATTTTTTCACGTGTTTTAAATAAAGTAAAAATTTAAAAGATATTGTAACCGACCAAATATTAGGTTTTAATGTTGCATAACATTAAACTACTAACCCACAAGAAGGTCCAAATTATGCAAATGGTTACGCATCGACATCATATATTGCTCTTCAGACTGTTCTAGTTCCTTGTTAAGAGTTTTTAAAATATTCTCTTTCCTAAACAATCAATTTAAGAACGACATTATTCACTGTACCGATCTTTAATCCTGTCAAATGTACTCTTCAGAATTTGAAGATCATTCTTTACCTCCTTCGATTTTGCTTTGCGCAAAAGCATTCTCCATTGATGGTTAAGTTTAAGCGTGTTAATTTTTGTTATTTGTTCCTCTTTTTCAAGTTTGTTCTACAGTTAAAATTTAAAAAAATGTTAATTTACTTTTAAATACAGGTGTAAAAGATCCTCCTTCTTTTTAGCTGCCGCCAAAGCAGCCAGCCGCTGTTGTTCAAGACGTGCAGCCTTTTCAGCTTCCGTCATATTTTTCAGTTTTTTCTTTGCCATTTTATCTTGCTGGACTACACCAACTATTTAAATATTCGACTGAACTAGTCACCCCGCAACGAGCAATACAAACAAAGCACTCAGCAAATTCATCCAAAATTTTTGCAATTTAATTGTAATAGTTTATATACTACCAATATATTAATCTGAGAATATCGGCTAAACCATAAAAAAGGCTAAGACTAAAGCAGCCCTGTTATGTCGATTTTATAAAAAGGAAAAATTCAACTTCTGAAGCCTACAGTACCACATGTCAGGTGAAAAATTAATGCAAGATGCTTTTGAGTTTAATTTTTTCTAAGAAGTGATCGGTTAAGCTGTTTCTTACAAACTCACACAATCGTTCAGGTAATGATCTGAAACAAGGAAGGCTCTAGCAGTTAGCGCATTTGCGTGAGGCCATCGGAATTATACTTCCACCCATTCCACCAAGACAATCAATTAGTATCAAAGCAATCATGTTACGCCCGCGTGTTTTTTTTTCTACCAAAATAATACACATTAATCTATTCTTCCGACTTTTACTTGGTTCCACTACTTTGCCGTTGAATAAAATTAGAATACAGACCACCTCTACATTTTCGAAGGTTTATATTTGACATCTGGCAGACGGAAAATCCCAAGCCTTTTAACAAAATGTTAATTGGTTAGAAAGTCTGCAATTTTTATTTGGAATGAGTTGA